CATTAGAAGATCACTCTGGTACCCATGATTGTAACTGACTTGGCAAGATTTAGGAAGGGATGCTGAAACCAACAGGAGACAGGTTTAAAAGAAACAGGACAATAACAATCTCAAAATGTCTTCTCATAAGATGCATATTACTTACAAAGAAAGAAACAGTAACTTTAGGAGAATCCTGGCCTGCAACACTACCTTAACCAAATGATCATGGTTAGCCTCACTAATAATGAAACAAATCAACATCCTGTGTCTCTGGATACAACGAGCTGGGAAGGACACAATACCTGGGGTACTTCTGCCAAAAATGCTTAATTTGAATCCAATAATGAGGAAACACTAGACAAACTCAAACTGAGGAAGATTTTACAAAATAACTGACCTACACTTTTCGAAAATGTCTATGCTATGAAAGACAAAGGCTGAGAAACTGTTCCAAACTAAGGACTAGAGGGACAAGACAATTCACTGACATGTGATCCTGGGTCTGCTCCTGAATTATAAAAGACATGACTGGCATAATTGTTAAAATTTGAACATGGTTTGCAGATTAGACAGCAGTACTGTATCAATGTCAATTTCCTGATTTTAATAACTGTACTGAGGTTATGTAAGAGGATGTTCTTGATTTTAGGAAAAACACGATGAAGTACTTAGGAGTAAAGGGGAATCCAGTCTGTAACTTATTTTCAAAGGATGCAGGGAATAGAACAGAATGTTTACATAGAATGATAAAAACAGTTGCAGTAAAATACTGACAACTGGGGAATCCAGGTGAAGGCTAGGTGAGTGCTCTGTGCTATTTTTACAACTTCTCTGTAATCCTGAAATGATTTCAAAATTGAAAAGTTCTAAAAAGGACACATAACGTAAACATGGCAAAAGTGTTAGCTCTTAAATCCTGGTGGTTGGCACATGGGTTCCATGATAGTCAATACTTCTCTCTCCATAGAAAGAATTCCCTAATAAGAAATATGGAAGTTGGAATCTGAAAAAACACCTTATTAACAGAAAGCAAAACAAAACAAAGAAGGCCAGGTTTAAATTCAACCTGAGTCTGATGCCCTGGCCCTGCTGCCCGCCAGGTGTGTGATGCTGGGCAAGTCCCTCCACTCTCTGAGCCTGTTTCCTCAGTATCTCCCTCCTGGAGAAGCTGAGAGGATGCAGCTGGATGGCATGTGAGGTGAGTGCCGTACTGGTGTAAGAAATGAAAACACAGCAAAGCAACCTTTCTGGCAACACTTACATGGATGAGCTTTTGCTCCCTCTTCTTGTGGCCTCCATGGTAACTTGATCTGTGAGAACACCACTGAGAAAAGCCAACTTGCTCCTCCCCCACCCCCACGCCAACAAGTCCCTTAACACATTTGAAAACCTTGGGTTTTCCATATGCATCTCCACTGACTCATACCCGCTGGCCAATTAGGTTAGTTTAAGGTTGGAACCTTCAGATGTTATCACTAGTTACAACAGTCACAATTCAACCAAGTCTGTAAAATTAGCAAGAGTAAGAGTTGCAAAGCTTCAGGTAATTCACTGCACAAGCAAAACTGCTTTGGGTAGACTGTGTGGCCCACTTCAAAACCTCAAGTATCTCTTTCCCCCCCTTTTCAACCAGGCAGCTAACTCTTCAAGTACCTGGCAAACGTCGGCCAGGCAGCATCCAGGTCATAGCCCCTCGATGCCAGGTCAAACTGGACGTCGGTCAGCTCATAGAGCTGGCCCACGATGTCAGAGCTCAGCTTTGGCTTCAGAAAGGGGCTCCTTGCGTAGTACCAGTCACTGCAGGGAAACACAAAAAGGAATGGATAAAGACAAGGGAAGAGTGAATTTAATCAGCCCTCCCAGTATGGCTCTGCCTCATCAAATTTCAACTCAGGTACTAAAATTAACTAAGGACAGACAGTCAGACATACCCCAATTTGACTTTCACTGTAGGAGCACATAACTCTCAAATAAACTTCCTCTTCTTCAAGGAAACTAATGAAATAAACTAGATACTTGTTTATTTATTATTTATATCATATCTATTCCCCCAAAGAATGTCAGAAACCTTAAATCTGAACTACTTGCCAAGAAAGGGCAGTTGTAGGGGAAAGAATAGTTCCTTTTTGAAAGAAAATCTCATCTTCTATTCCTTCCCAGAGAACTTAATACAGGTCACTGAATGCACTGCTAATTTCTCTCCAGACACCAATTTAAAAACCAAGGAACAAAATATCTGCACTTTGAGGTGGTGGTTGTTTCATTTTACGTGAAGCAGTAAAAATTAAAAAGACAACACAGGTGAGTTTACTGAGCTACTTGGCTGATGTCTGTGAACTGGGACACACTGCAAGTCAAGCTGTTTATGACAGTTTTCAACAAACATCCCAACAAAACAACCTAATCAGAAGTGCGAAGGTTCTCAACTCAGTGAATTCACAAAGTCGGGCACATGTTCGAGAAATACACCTTTATGCAAATCAATCTTAAAGGTGACAAGGTGAAACAAAATATTTTCCCTCCAAAGTTTTTAACTCAGATGTGATTTCTTTGATTAATTAGAAGAACATTCCTGAGGGAGGGGCGAGGCAGAGCTAGAAAAGGGGTGCCAGGCCATCCAAAGAGGCTCAACTGATTGGCACCTGGTCAGATGCTCCTAATCTGACGCCCTCTCCCCCTTCACACGCCTGTCCCTCTCCTCTCCTTCCTCCTCCCTGTCCCACTGAGGCTGCAGCCCTTGGTTGCCCATCACCATCTCCAGGGAGTCCAGATATGTGGAGCAGGTGCTGACTCAGTGCCTCATGTGAGGCCCCAGGCTTGGTGGTATTAAAAACTCCACAGGTGATTCTGCTGAGAGGCCAAGGCTGCCACCCACTGGTGCAGGGTGACCACTGGGGTCTGTCCATTAACGCCAGCACCAAGGACATGCTATCTGCCGGGGGAAACTACCTGGCACTGGGAGTTAAGAGACCTGGACCCAAACTCCTGCTTTCCACCTCAACATCAGTGGGACCCAGAGAAAGGCCCTTAGCCTCTCTGAGCCTCACTTTTCTCACCTGCGGAGGCTCAGCGCTACCTGCCCCATGTGCACCAAGCACTGTGGCAGGGAGGGGCAGAAGTGGACGACAGATGTAGGAGGACCCTGCTTGTGTCCTCGTGGGACACAGACAGGCGCTGCTACTGCGGTGTCATTATTATTATTTTTAAAAAATTTATCACATTTATTTGAGATCTCCTGCACTTGTTTCGGAGACATTATACACTGTAATGCATACTAGAAAGTGTTGAAAAACTGTCCATTGCACAAACAATAATTTAAAAAGAAAAATACTCAATCCTTTCATCAAATCATGTTCCCATATACTTTAATTCTTTTTATTTATTTTTGTAATTTCTTCATTGTTGCCATTAAGATAGACAAGATTTGCATTTTCTTTGATTATTACACTGTTATGCTCTCTGTTGCCATATAGACTTCCTTATTACAACATCAAATGATGCCTTGCTATGCCAGTTAAGCTGATCTGCTGTAATTTAACAGCCCTCCCTCACTGGACATTGATGGTTTCCATCCTGTGTACTGTAAGTAGTATCATTATGATGAATGAGGGACTTCACATCATTTTTGAATGGTGTCGGGGTAACGCCAGCACTGTCACGTACTTACCTGGTCACTTTGGTGTTCATGAAGCACTGCTGTAAGGTGTCTGCCAACCTCTGGTGCACCAAGGAGTAGCGAATAAATGCTCTTCCCTTTCCCAGAGATGTTCGGAGCTGGAAAAAGTACATTACATAGAAATGCAGACCTGTTAGCCTAACTCCAAATACAGACCTGGCCTCATGGATGGATGGCAAAAACAGATACAGGGCAGAAAATGTCACCCAATTCTACCCTATCCATAAGCTTCACTCATGTCCCTCAAAGAACACAAAACATGTAATATCACCCCAGAAAGCAAGACCTAAAGGGGATCTTCTTGCAGGCCTGCATCTGACAGTAATCTGTCGATTCCAGTAAACGTGTCAAGGAAAATCTAGTCATGAGAGGCTCAAATAGCTACCTGTGGATTCTCCTGGAATGTCATTCTCCCTTCTCTGCTCCATCAGAGTCTCTGGGTTGGAGTCAGACATGAAATGGTTTGATTTAATTTGGAATATTTACTTAGAAAACCACTTGGAGGTAAATGGAGGGCTTCTCACACCAGTATGCTTGAAGAGCGAGATGGTCTCAGTTTGGCTAATGCCTGGGCTTGTTTCTGAAGTGCTGGGAGAAGAAATGCAGGGGGAGAGGCCTTAGGGGCTTGGCTGGAGCCAGTGTGGAAGGGGGAGAGAGGAGGGCAAAAGGCTGAGGCATGTAAGGGGGACTTTGGATGGATGTATAACTCCTCCTCTGCATCCATCAGTAAAATCCACATGTCTGTCAATGCTTTCCTGGTTGGATTTCCTTTCTGCTATACCAACTCACTGCATTTAGCCAGAAGGTGCCCAGTGGGTGAGGGCAGGGGTGTCTCTAGGTGGCCCAGTGACACTGGGGTAAGAAGAAATGGGTGTGCTTCTGTTTTATGAAGTCGGAGGTAGATGAAGGGTCCAGGTGCAGGCCTGTCTTTGAAACCTCTCACCACAGTGCCAAAACATGGCTTCTAAAGAGGTTTCTGAGCTTGTTGTGATGGAGGTGGAGGTGTGCTGGTCAGAGACTCTTGCACACAGCTGCCAGGATGGATCAAGGGCTAAAATCAAGTTGTCCAAATGGACAGCCACAGAAGACATGTGAGACCAGCTTGCAAATTAGGATTCGTGCTTCCAAAGTTTCAGCCCCAGAAGCTCAAGGTAAGTGAACAGGACTCTAAACCTGTCGACCTACCTATGTACCCGCTCTGTTAGGCACTGGCAGAGACACAGACCCTCCTCATCCCGTCAAAGGTCAGAAATGTTTAACTTGGTGGCTAGGGGAAGGGGCGGCAATGATTTGACCAAAGGAGGGTCCTAACTCTCCATACAGTTAAGAAACCAGTCATGGCACTAGATTGAGACAGGAAGCATGTGATACGACCTCAAGGACTCGGGGGCACATGAAGTATGGTGTAAACATCCCGGTACACAGCACCTTTTAGCTCAGAGCTGTAAGTTTTCATACCTCTGACTCAAGGAAATAATACCACAATATGAAATAGTTTAAAAAAAAAGAAGGTGTAAAACCTCAGAAGACATTTCTGTAAGAAGCTTTAAGACATTTCTCCACATGTGTTTTGTGGATTTGGGGTAGAGGCAGGATGTGTGGAATGAAGGTGGACAGCAGCAACCATCAGCTCTCTCAAAACCACCATGGCATGTCCACAAGGAATGGATCCTGACAGACACCCAGGGGAGAATCTTGATGACACCCACACATCCAAATGCTTTTCCACTGATGAGTGAGGCGAGAACAAAGCATTCAGTGGTGATAACTAGAAAACCTGGGCAGCGGAGAACAGCTGAGCAAGGCATCGTGAAGTGAAGCGAGTCGGTCATTCACACACACACCCACACACCAGCCCTGTGGAATTTAATAAGAGACTCACACAACAGCCCAGGTCTGTGAGCTCCCAAGGGAGGGGCTTGTCCTTATTAATAAAATGGCCATTGTAACAGCATTTAGAACATTTAATTTTTTAAAGGCAAACATTTGAGGCTACATTTTAAATCAAGCCTATTAACTGAATTGATTGTATCTGTAAAGGGAGCTATTTTAAAAGGTTTTTTTTACACATTCTTTGGGGAAAGGAACAACAGCAGTTCCTTTGCACTACAAATGAAAATACTGCACAGTCCTTTTTAGACCTTGTTGAGATCATGGGCCCACGTTCTTTACCCAATTCCTTAACTTTTTTTAGCATCTAATCAGAACTCACACGCAGTATTCCGAGAAGCGATATAATGGCAGCCAAGGACAGGAAATCAGCCAAGGTACACAAGATCTGGCTTGGCTTTAAGCCAGACCACCGTGCCAGGAGCCTGACTGCAAACTACGACCTGGTTCTGACAAGCCCATCGCAGTGAAATGCACAGGGTCCAGGTGGAGCCATTATGAACCATTAGAAGTGGCTGATTAGAGCCTTGGATTGTTTTAGCCCAGACAGCTGCCTCCTGCCCCAAAGGGGCCTAAGGGGCCCAGCAATGCTTCTTATCCATTGACTTTTACCCCCTGGCTTGCAGGCCTGGATGGCACTTGATTATTAAAATTAACCCAAGTCTCCAGCAACCCATCCGGCCTAGTGACAGCCCGGGCCATTCCATGCACTGGTGCACCAGAGAGCAGAGTCTTCAAAAGCGATGGAACAGCTGGACCCCACGGGAAAAACAGAGCCTATGCCAGCCATCAGAAACCAAGTATCTGTGCAAGCGGGGAATGCTTTTTGCTTCTAGAAGTCAGTGTCCCTGGTCTCGTATTGTCTAAAGGTCCGACTGCATTATGAGAAGAGAGAGGAAATCAGCCAAAAAGTAGATGTAACCCTGGGATTTCATGGGCTTGGGAAATGAGGATTAAACTACATTTATTTCCAGACTTCAGCTGTCCAAAGTCTGGACAGGCTTTGCTCCGAGCGGAAAATAAGAGTAACAGTGAGAATGCCCCTCGGTTTAAGGAGAGGACGGTGACAGTGACTTATGACGCATTAATCAGGCACCTTAGAGTCCCACAAGACAAGCTCTCACAAGACCTTCTGTGCTACCTGGACAACCCCTCTTGAGCCAGGATTGCCCGTCATTTTCTCAGCTGTCAGAAGGTAGAGCTGGTGGAAAATGCCTGGCTCTCAGTGTCGGCGTGTCTAACACCGTCACTCTCTATTAGAAGAAACCCACTGGCTCCAGCTGGCACAGCCGGGGAATTCCGCCCAAAGCACCTGACCCTGTGGCCTTTGTGGGTGGCTGGCCAAGAAGCATGTCTGCTGACTTTAAAGGGACCTTGGACTTACTGATGAGATACTGAAAACTAAGATGACACGTACAAACCCTTTAGGCATCCTGCCCCAAATCTAGGGGATTACTTGTTCCCTAATGTGCAAAGTTCTTCACTCCTAGATGGACCAGGCTGATGAGAGAGAGTCAGCGGGGATGGGAGGTGGGGGAGAGGTAGAGAGAAAAAGAGTGAGGGAGTGAGTATGAGTGCATGTGTGTGCTGTTGTTGCTGTTCTGGACTTTTACAAAACAGCAAAGCCATCACATTCTGCTCCTGAGGGGCTCAGAACTTACTGAGGGAAGCTGCTTAGCACACCAGTTATTTTAAGAAATGTCTCCTAAGATCCCACATCACTCTCTTCATTTTAAAGCCAAGTTTCCCAGGCAAACTGCAGGGAAAGCAGCCTAGCAAACTCTAAGAATTTTATCTGAAACTGATTTAAAAAAAAAAGGTGAAGGTGTCCTGTGCTGCATACCTCTGAGGGGCACCCCAAGGGGACTGCAATGTGAACAGTCCACCCAGTTAGGTAACATGTGAATGGTGGTGGTGGAGGGGGTTAATACATACTCAGGACTGAGCTGTTCCTTGGCCTGGTAAACCCCCTCCTAGGAGGCTTCCCAGGGCTACCAGGGGGCACTGCGCACACCTGGACTGGATTTCTTTACCTCCTTACTACCCGTAAACCCTCATTTCCTCGTTTGGCTGTCTGCAGCAAACGTCTCCGCGAGAGATGCTTAAGGCAGGTGAAGGGGAGATGAGAGGCCCTTGGCTGTTCCACTTACCTCGGAAATAGACCTGACGAATCGGACCCCGTCATTGGCTCCTTTCACCTTGGCCAGACAGGCGCAGAAGTAGTCCCAGTAGTCTTTCTTATTGCCCAGGAGCGTGGCTTTCTCCTTCTGATCGAACTGGACAGGGAAAGGAGACAGAGATGCCCAAACCCATTGCTGTTTATCCCACCACTTAAATGATAATAATAACAGCTTCTTAATTGCCAGGCCCTGGGCGAGGCCCTTTATCAGTATTATTTTTATTTACTGGCAAACGAGAGTGTTTTAGTCCTCATTTTAAAGGTGAGGAATCTGAAGTTAAGAGAAGTTAAGTAACTAACTAGCTCAAGGTCATGCAACTAGTGAGACTGTGAGATTCAGGAACAACAAGCTCCCAAAAGATTTATCCATTGAAGGGACCTCTGCGCATAGAGCTGGGTAGAAGACACCAAAGGTGCTATTAACACATGATAAAAAAAATGCAACTGAAAAGTCTTAAGGGCAACATGAAGACTATTAGCTATGTCTCAACTTAGGAAAATGCATCAGTGACATTTTATCCCAGTTATACGAGTTTCAATATTGTTTTAACATACATACAATAAATTCAAATAAATGTCAGCTATGAGTCATTTCAAACCCAAAACCAAAATGGGCTCATTGAAAAAAAAAGGTCCATAAATACTTTCACAATGTAAAACAAGAAAACCAGTTGAAAAGGCATGTGAAAGGTGAGCCTTCAACACACTGAGACATCTCCAGTGGGCTCTCATTCTACACGCTTTGGTGGGATGTGACATTGCAAATTTACAGTGTTTAAAATGATAGCTGTATATCTGCCTACATAATAGTTTAAAGCATCTGTTCTGATTAGAAAAGATCTGCATACATTGTTAGGACATCTGGATTAAACAAAACAAAATAAAAAAAAATGCCTAATACCATCACCCTAAGATAACTTCTGTTAACATTTTGGTACATTTCTTCCCTGCCTAGTGTACTTGCCTGTATTTTTCCACACCTGCAGAGCTCTCTAGAGCTATGCTTCTTGAACCAAGCAGACAGAAGCATTACACTGTGAGCATGCTAAAAGCAAACTTCCTGGGCTGACTTCAGAGATCCTAATTCAGCAAGTCAAGGTGGGAACCTCTAACCTGCTCCCAGGTGATGCTGCTTCTGCTGGTCTAGGGACCACACTTTCTGAAGCAAGGCTCTAGAGCAGGGACCTCCAGATCATCTCTAGAGGGCCGCACACTCCTGGAAAATGTGTGCTGGGTGTGTATGTATGTTTAGGAAGAAGCTCCACAGCTGTCACCAGACTGCCAATGGGGTGTGTGACTGCCTAAAAGTTAAGATCCCTGCTAGACAGAGACCCTGTGACCTGCTTTAAGATGTCTTAAATCTCTAAAGAATGTTCTCAATTCCCAAAACCATCCTGCAGGGCAACATTCTGATTCCTTAGAGGATCACTCAAACTTGGAGCTGGGGGCAGCTCTGACCTTCAGTATAACCAAGAGGGCTCAAGGGCTCCACTGAGCTTTTGGAGCTGCATCCTCAATGCTGATGAAGCAGCCCAGAGGGAGACAAGGGACGAGAGAGCAGAAAATAACACATGGCAGGAGGCACTTACCTGAAGGAGATACTCAAGTTTGTAAGAAAACTTATGCAAGCTGGTGCTGTCATCTGTGATGGGTTCCCCTGCTTCCTTAAATTCTCTGCTTAGTTCTGTCACAGCATCTTTAAGACAACAAACAGGAACATGTAACCATGTTCAGAGCCTGGCCTCAGAGAGAGCAGCAGGATGACCCCGAGAAGCATGGGGAGTAAGTAGTCAATGGCGGCAAAGCATGGAGGAAATGTGGGGTGGTAGAAAGCATCCCCAGGCTGGAACTGAGTCAGAAGGGGCTCAGGCGCCCCAAGAGCCCACAGGGCCTTTCCATAGCTTGCTGACTGAGCACATTTCTTGGTCATCCCTGAAGGTCCACCATGCAGGTCTCATAATTTACCCAGTACTTGGTCAAAAGTATCTGCTGTGTGGATGGATCATGTAGCAGTCCCCTCGTATCGACTTCCAGAGGGCTCCATCCTCTCTTCCGGCCACGGTTCTTGGTCTTCACTGTAACCCCACTGCTCAGTGCAGGTAAGACCAGGATGCCACAGGACCCAGAACGTGCAAATAGTGGTTGTGACAATGCCAAGAATGACACCACCACCTGCTTCTGTTAACTGAGTGCTGGTGAGGGGCCAGGACTCTGCGGGTCTTTCTCATTCAATACAGCACTGCGAGGTAGGAATTGCTTTATTTCAACAAATCTAAGATGCAATGGATTTTAAGACGATGCCAATTTCAGAGCTGGTAAAAATGTGAAAAAAAAATACAAGGTAGAACTGACAAAAGCTGGTGTTATCAGTCCCGCTTTACAGATGAGGAACTCTAAGGAGAGGTCAGAGCACTTGGCCAAAGAGGGCAACAAACAGCAGAGATGGAATGAGATGCCTGCTTTTCTCAAGGGCTTTCTGATTCCAGAGCTCACCTCCTAACTTCCAAGACAATTACCTCCCAGTGCAGAAAAAGAGGGAAAGCTACCTTTGACTTTCATTCCTGGCCCTGCTGTAGGACAGAGGGACTGTAAGAAGCTGAGTTTTATTTAGATTCTGGGAAAAATGTCCATGGCTGAGATGGTTGGAACATGCTGGATGAAAACATCTTCTCTGACAATTCTTGAAAGAAAAGGAAGCCCTAGCCCCCTGAACACCATGGTTAGAAAGCACACCTGCCCACGACTGACACAGAGCCTGAGCTGTGAAAATTAATCACCACTGACACCTCAGGCAAAGGCCAGCAAGCGGCAAAGACAGGGTCTTGGGGTTGGTTCTTAAAACAAGTGACTGCCATCCAGCTATGCCCTACTAGAAGCGTCTGCTGTGGCTGGCACTGAGAGCTGAGGACCAGGGACCGGGAAAGACACGCAGCCTTCCTCCCCCTACCCTCAGGCAGGGTTAACGTTCACAACTGGATCTGGGAACTCCTGAAATTTTCAAAGGAGCCTTGGATATGGAATATGAAATTTCCAGCTCTAATCTCTGATAATTACCAACAGATGAGATATAAGAGTCTTGAGAAAGTGGTACCTTTTAAAAATTCACACCAAAGTGCTCCAAGGGTGGGGTATAGGACATTGGATGACCCTGGGATGTGGGGGACAACAGAGGCAGCCAGCACATGGGATGGGAAAAGGCAACTGAACAAATGCTGATGCCTGGCCTCCTCCTTGGATCAGGAGCTCTGCTACAGGCTCCTCCCTTCCTCTCAACCCTCCTGATAAGGACTTCAGGTCTCAAAGTCATCCTTGAGAACCAGAGACTGAAACACAGAGAAGATTGCCTACTTTGTGGAGAAACCTCTGAAGACTAGGAGCAAACTCAGATTTACTGGGACTGTCTTTTTACTGTGTGTGTGTGTGTGTGTGTGTGTGTGTGTGTAAATTTAAGAAGAAAAAAGCCATCTCATGTGTTATGGAAGTAGACTGGTGTGGTTAAGGGCAGATTCTGGCACCAGGTGTGTACATAAACCCAGGCTCTGCCTGATTGGATGTGTGACCTTAGGCAAGTCACCTAATCTCTCTGTGCCACTTTCCACATCTGCAAAATGGGAATAACAATGGTCCCAACCTCACAGGACCAAATGTGAGGACTCAATGAGTTACGGTCTGTGAGACTTGTGCCTGGCTCATGTGCCATGTAATGATCGGCCATTACAGGCCCTAAGTGCTGTATAAACAGGAGATAAGCCCGAGAAAGTGACTTTTATTTAATGGACTTTTGACCTTCAGAATCAGGACTGCTGTGGCCTCCACCAGCCTGGGTCTGAGGGGCTGTAATTGGTTATCTCTGTGTCTGAGCAGGTAAGAACCTGGGCCTTGAGTCTGTCAGGACAGTGTCACTGTGGTCCCCTGACACAGAAGAAGGGGTCAGCTTCAGACCATGTTGCAGCAAATGTGCTGGGGCTCCAGAGGGGCTTACGAGACCTGCCATGGTGACCTGCAAGGGATAGAAAACTTGCCAAAATTCTGGTCGTGGCACGTCACCTGAAAGCGTGAGCTGGGGCCCTGGCCTCCGCGGCCAGCAGAGAACACAGCCTGCTCTTCCTGAGTCTACTCTGTTCACAGGCGCCCTCCGCATTGCCTCGGTCCAGTGAGACAAGGCCCTCGAGTCGGTCTGTCTTACCAGGCAATGCCAAGTTCAGGGATGCCCACGAGGCAGCAGGCCCAGAACTGGAGTGAGTCATAGGTGACAGGCTGTCCACCTGCCAGGACCAGTTGATCAGCAAAACAAGAAAGATGAGTATCTTGTCTTCCTGCTCAGAGGGAGGGAGAATATTCCTCCCCAAATGAGCCAACTCCACCATCAACCAGAGGCTCACATTTAAAAAACTAACAGGCAGCTTGAAAATACACACAAATTGAAATCAGACCCAGGGCCAGTAAAGGGTATTTGATTTTGTTTACAAAATACCTTTATGGTGCATGACAGGAGGGCGCGCCAAGCTTTTCCAGACTTACAGGACAGACATCTGAGCCTCAATATTTCAATATGATTTCAACTGAGAGCTCCAATTACTCCCGGTGTAAACACAGATCGCAGGGTTGAATTTTAGCTGGCAACAGCAAAAGCATAGCCACAGCTCCCTCAAAACCAGTTTGGCGTGCTCTGTGACTGAGCCATACCTTGCAAATCGCGGATGATTCTCTGCAGCTGGCTCTCCGCGCTGGTGGATGCCATGGTGACCGCTGTGGCCGCCTTTCCTGGCCGTGTGCCTCCTGCCGGGTCTGCTCAGCAGAGGTCAGACTCCATGGTGGCACCTGCACGGGGAGGAGGAGGCCCTAGAGGAAGCAGTCACAGGCACAACTGAAAGACAGCAGTAGAGGGACGCTGCTCTGGACACAAGGTCGTGCCATCTGGGCGTCCTCCCTCAATGGGAAGGGCTTGACCTTTCTGTGTAAGCCTCGCTCTGTGGGCATTCTCTGACACGCTTACACTCAGACACAATGACCTGGTTTGGAGCTTTAAAAGAAACAGTATCAACCAAATAGCACGGCCTATTCTTTCTGAGCTCCCCTCCTAGTCTGCCCTCTTACACAGGCCTGCCCCACTTTTTACCTTTAAAAATGCCTCCCAGTGGTTCCCCTCGGCCTCCTATACGACGGCCAGAACTAGTCCAAGCCCCATTCACTGGCCTGCTAAGCCTACAGTGCGGCCACATCAGACCCCCGTCTCCTCCACACCCGGCCCCAAGCCCTTCACCGCCCCAGGCTTGCTTTCTCCGAGGAAAAGGTCGGCACCCTCTGGCCAGCAGTGGTAGAGGCAGAGGACATACCCTCAGGGCTTCTGGATCAAGGAAGGCCTCGCAGGGAGGTTTACAGCCCCCAGACACCCAGCATCTGCCTCAGCCCAGGAGGGCAGACACTGAGGGGGGCTGCACAGCCCTGGGCACCAGTCAAATGATGCGTCTCTATTTTAAACTCAGCTACAGTCCTCCCGTGGCTTGTGAGTTCAGAGTTACCAGCGCTACTTCGGCAGCTGCTTAAGTGATTTGAGGACATAGCAGTGGCTGGAGACCAACAAAGAGGAGGCGATGTGAGCAACGTTGGAAGGATGTCTGGATGCACACTTGGACATCACCATTATACTCCTTTCAAAACCACTCATTCTTTCTTTAGGTGTCCGATATGAAGTTGCAATGTTTGCTGGCAAAAGCAGCTGGCAAGACTAGAGGCGGCCGAAGAAGCCACTGCTAGACAAGGGCTGTGTGCTGGGCCTGTCAGGTGCTTTACACCCCGTGGTCATTTTAATTCCCACCAGCACCCTGGGGGTTAGATAACATACAAGGGAGAAACTGGCGTTGGGAGAAGTTGTGTAACGTGTCTCAGGCCACAGGCCAGTAGGGAGTGGGGTCGAGGTATGAACTCTGATCAGTCTGATTTCAAATCCGGTGGCTCTACAAAGGAGCCACTGCCACTACAGCAAGTGACCAACCACTTTCACTGGCTTCTGTGAACTACCCTGAACTCCAGTGCCTCTCAAATGTGCCACCACCCTGAAGGTCTCAAACACGAGCTGGTCCCCACTCTCCCACCACCATCTTCCCCTTACTGCTCCAGGAGGCAAGGTAAGAAGATCCAGGAGGAGAAATGGTCGCCAACCTCACGTTCCTCAAACTGTTTACACAAGCGTTTCAGCGTCAGCCCAAGGGGAGGGTCTGCTGTGGCATAGATATGCCTGGGTCTATTTATAACTGACAAGCCAGCGCAGCTGTGACTCAGTGAAAACAGGGCCCAAGGACGGCTTCTCTGGCCTAGGAGGAACTAGACAGGCACACTC